ACACGTACGCCTCTACAAATACCAACGTCATCATAATAGGTGACACCAATTGCCACTTTGATTCCACCACTGACAGCTATGTGAAGACTCTGAAATCAGCTCTTGACACATACAGTATGACCCAGCTGTACAGTCTCCCGACACAGAAGAGGGGTCACATCCTGGATTGGCTTGTTGTCAGAGAGGACCGCGCAGCTGTCATCCGCAACATCATTATTGAAAATAAATTATCTCTGATCACTTTCCCATATTCTTTGACCTAGACTTGACGAAGCCGGGGCGCCCTCTGCGCACAGTCACATCTCGTAACCAGCGAAAAATTGATCTAGTAGCCTTCAGATGCGACGTCGCCGCCCTCAGGTGCTGTGAAAAAGGCCCCGCTACATCCTACAACAGTGGCCTCAGAGTCATTTTAGACAAACATGCACCACTGACCACACGGCGCGTTACGGACCGCCCTTCCGCCCCATGGCTCACGCCCGAAATTAAGCTAGCGAAGCAGAAGCAGCGACGTGAAGAACGCCAATGGCGGAAGTCGGGCTTGACCGTGCACCGACAAATCTTTGGTCACCACAGGGAACGAACCAAACAGTTGGTCCTTGCAGCTAGGACAGATCATGTTAGTCATCAGATTATAGACAGCAGCTCAAGCAAGGACCTATTTCGCATTGTGGGTCAGCTGACCGGTAAAAACAAGTCTACATCTCTGCCAAATAACATTGCTGTAGAAGAGATGCCAGACCCTCTAAATGACTTCTTTATTACAAAAGTTAAGAGGGTCAGGGCGAAACTTGACAGTTGCACCGATACTGCTCCAGAATTCTCACCCTTTAACGGCTCTTCTATGGATGAATTTGTTGAGGTCAGTGAATAGAATGTGAGGAAAATCCTCGCTGATACCCCAAGAAAGTCATGTTCGCTTGACCCTCTTCCAGCAGGGCTCTTGTATGAATGTCTGGAGGAAATAGTCCCCATCATCACCTGTATCATGAATCAGTCCTTAGCTACTGGTATTGTTTCATCATCTTTTAAAGAAGCGATATTCACTTCACTGTTAAAGAAAGCAAATCTTGACCCAAATGTGATGGAAAATTATCGCCCCATCTCAAATCTACCATTTATATCCAAAATCTTAGAAAAAGTCGTTCTCCGCCAACTCCTGATCACCTCATACAATGTGACTTGTTTGAACCTTTCCAGTCAGCATACAGGGCGCATCATTCTACTGAGACAACCCTGTTGCGCGTCGTAAACGACCTTCTGTCGTCTTGTGATGAGGGCCAAGTATCGATTTTGTCTTGAATCGATCTATCGGCAGCTTTCGATACGCTTGATCACGGCATACTGCTCCAGCGTCTGCAAAAAAGTTCGGTCTCACTGATAACGTCCTGAGTTGGTTCCGATCCTATCTGACTAATCGGATCCAGTCAGTTATTTCAAACGGCTTGACCTCGAAGAAATCTAATATCGAATTCGGAGTACCCCAGGGCTCGGACCTAGGCCAGGTGCTTTTCACGATGTACATTCAGCCACTGGTTGCAGAGATCAAGAAGTTCGACATGCAATACCACATGTTCGCAGACGACATCCAACTTCATCATTCCGTGATCCCCTCTCAGTTCCCTCAGCTGCTCAGTATGACACAGAAGACAGTGGAGTCAGTTAAGCACTGGATGGCCATAAACAAGCTCAAATGGAATGATGATAAGACTAAGCTGCTCCCCATCGCGACCGCTCAGAAGCAAAAATCTGTAAATAACACGACATTAATCACTCTCTCAGGTGTGCGTATTGAGTTAGCTCAAACAGAGTGGTACCTGGGTGTCTACTTAGACCGAAGACTAACCTTGGAAAGTCACATTAGCATGCTATGCAAGGCGATTTTTCTAGAGCTGCGCAGGATTATTCACATCAGGCCCTTCCTAACATTTGATGCAACAAAGAGGCTGATGTCTGCATTTGTGCTATCACGCAAAGACTATTGCAATGCTCTCATGGTCGGTCTTCCAGCTACGCTCCTGGATAAAATTCAAATAGCACAGAATAATGCGGCTCGCATTGTTCTCCGCAAACGCAAGTTCGACCATGCAAAAACACTTCTGAGAGAGTTGCATTGGCTGCCGGTGCGTGCTCGCATAGATTACAAAAACGCAACTTTGTGCTGCCGCTGCTTACATGACCTGGCGTCGTCCTATCTGATAGAGCTGCTGAAGCCTTATGTACCCACTAGAGAGCTCCGCTCATCCGATAGTGGCAAACTCTCGACACCACGTGTTCGCCTTGAGACTTACGGAAAGCGCACTTTCGCATTTGTTGGTCCAACAATTTGGAATGCCCTTCCTGTCGATCTCAGAAACAATCAGACACTGGAGTCCTTTAAAACCGATTTAAAGACACATCTATTTCGCAAACACATTCTGGGATGATTGTCTACCATATCTTCCATTTAATGCATATTGGCTGTAATGCTTAGGGTTGAAATGGGTAGAAAGACTTTGCCATTGTATGCTTGTAATTAGTTTTTGTAGTAGAACGTTTGTTTTAAATGTGGTAAATTATAGATTTGTTTTTGTTGACTTTGTACCGCGCTTCGAGCCTTTGGGGATGAAGCGTATTTTTGAAATAAACTTTATTATTATTATTATTATTACTAATATCAAATATTTATACTCCTAGCATCAAATATTTACACCCCTTGTATGAAATATTTGAACTCCTTGTATCAAATATTTACAACCCTAGTATCTAATATTTACACTCTTTGTATCAAATATTTACACGTCATGTATCAAATATTGACACTCCTAGTATCAAATATTGACATCCTAGTATCAAATATTGACACTCCTAGTATCAAATATTGACACTCCTAGTATTAAATTTTGACACTCCTAGTATCAAATATGGACACTCCTAGTATCAAATATTGACACTCCTAGTATTAAATATTGACACTCCTAGTATCAAATATTGACACTCCTAGTATCAAATATTTACACCCCTTGTATCAAATACTTACACTCCTTACATTAAAAGTATGTTATAAAAGATCTATATAGTAGCATTTTTGTATTGTTTCTCTGTGATGCGCCTGTACACCAAAAACATCAGTGTAGACAACCTTGACGAAGGAAAAAACAATATTAACTTCCTCGTTTTTTAAATGCATTACATCACTGTATCTTAACGTCTCTTAACCAGGTAAATGGCACAAAGATTGGAGCGCTCCACTAAACACTTAATGAATCAGATACTAAACAACGTACAATCAAGCTCATTATAAAATGTCAGAACTGTGTTGTTTATTTAGTGAGCCACATTTTCATTTTAAAGACAACTTTACAAATGTCATTTTGAAAATGTCATACGTATTTTACAGCTCTCTCTTTTTTTTTCGCTCTCTTTATCTCTTTATCCATCTATTTTTTCTCTCTCTTTCTTGCACTCTCTCTTTCCTCTCTCTTTAAATCTTTTTTTTTTTTGGATAAGCTTCTAGTTCTCTTTCTTTCTCAAACTCTATGTATCTCTCTTTCTCTCTCCCTTTATATCTCTCTCTTTTTCCATCAAACTTCTCTTTCTATCTCTATCGACATCTCTTTCTTTATTTTTTCCTCTAAACCAAACAATACATCCCAAATAGAGGCATATGAGATCCATCCTAACCCAATCTTTATATCCCAAATGCAAGCAAATGACATGTATTCACAACCAATCTCTACATCTCAAAGACACCCATATGGCATGTGTTCACAACCAATCACTATATCTCATAGACTCTCATATGACATAAATTCACATACAATCTCTATATTTCATAGACTCTCATATGACATGTATTCACAACCAATCTATAAATCTCACAGACTCCCATATGACATGTATTCACAACAAATCTCTACCTCTCATAGACTCCAATATGGCATGTATTCACAACCAATCTCTACCTCTCTAAGACTCTCATATGGCATGTATTCACAACCAATCTCTACATCTCATAGACTCCAATATGGCATGCATTCACAACCAATCTCTACCTCTAATAGACTCACATATGGCATGTATTCACAACCAATCTCTACATCTCATAGACTCACATATGGCATGTATTCACAACCAATCTCTACATCTCATAGACTCCCATATGACATGTTTTCACAACAAATCTCTATATCTCATAGACTCCAATATGGCATGCATTCACAAACAATCTTTACATCCCATAGACCCTCATATGGCATGTATTCATCAACCAATTTCTACAACTCAAAGACACACATATGGCATGTATTCACAAGAAATCTCTACCTCTCATAGACTCATATATGGCATGTATTCACAACAAACCTCTACCTCTCATAGACTCAAATATGGCATGTATTCAACTCCAATCTCTACCTCTCATAGACTCACATATGGCATGTATTCACAACCAATCTCTACATCTCATAGACTCACATATGGCATGTATTCACAACCAATCTCTACATCTAATAGACTCCCTTATGGCATGTATTCACAACCAATCTTTACGTCTCATAGACGCCCATATGGGAAGTATTCACAACAAAATTTTACATCTCATAGACTCCCATATGACATGTATTCACAAAAAAATATCTCCATCTCATAGACTCCCGTATGACCAATATTCAGAACCCATATTAACATATCATAGACTCCCATATGGCAAGTATTCACAACCAATCTATGCATCTGATTGACTCCCATATCACATGTATTCACAAACAATCTATAAATCTCATAGACTCCCATATAACATGTATTCACAACTAATCTCTACATCTCATAGACTCCCATATGACATGAATTCACAACCAATCTCTATATCACATAGACTTCCGAAAGACTATTATTTACAAATCAATCTATACATGTTACAGACTATCGCATGTCTTAAATTCACAGCCAATCTCTATATCTCATAGACTCCCATATGGCAAGTATACACAACTAATCTGTAAATCTCATAGACTCCCGTATGACGTTTGTTCAGAAGAAAAAAAATGAGTCGCTTGTAGGCTTAGGTAGATCCCGCTTGCTTTCATTCGTGGGGTCAATTGAGCTGACCCCTGCGTCGTTCGCTGGCTGAGTCGAAACCCTTTGTTCAACGATTTGGTTGAATTTTTTAGAAGACTGTGAGAATCGCGAAACTCGGCGACTTTGGGATTCTTGGGTGAATCTGGAAATACGTCCTTGGAACAGAGTAGAATAAAGAAAAAACATTTATTAAACAGTGTAGAATTGAGAAATGTAGAACTCAGAGTAGAACTGTGAAGCACATCTAAAAAACAGAATAGAATTAAGAAACCATTGTATAAAAAAGAATAGAATTAATTTTTTTTAAATGTAGAAAACATAGTAGAATTTAAAAAAAAAAAAAATGTTGAAAATAGTTGAGGGTTGAGAAAAATCTAGGAAACAGAGTAATATTGAGAAAACAATGTAGATAACAGAGTGCAATTAAAAACACAGTGTAGAAAACAAGGTAGAATTGAGAAAACATGTAGAAAACTGAGTATAATTGAGAAAAACCGTGAAGATAACAGAGTACAATTGAGTAAACAGTGAAGAAAACAGAGTTAAACTAAGAACCACTTGTAGAAAAGAGAGTAGAACCCAGCCCTACCCCCCCCCCACTCCTTTTGGTCTGGGGTACGTCCGTTCGACTGAAAACGCTGCGTTTAAAGCGTTCGTTGTCCACTCTCACTAAGAGTCTGGATGAGTTTGCTTCCCCTTTGGAGGATTGGTGTTGCGTCACCATCCCCACCAACCATGGAGTCTTTCGGTCCGGACGAAAGCTGGAACGAATCGGTCGCCTAAAAGCGGCTTTCTCGCGGCCGCATAACTGAGTGGTTTAGCCGCGACCCCAAACACATATCCGTCAACGGCAACACGTCATCATGTTACGACTTTGCTACTCCCGATACGTTGGGATTCATGCGGTCGGCCGGGGCTTTTTGCGTCGGGAGACCTGACCTCCCTACCAGTCCGCCACACCACGGAGAGGCAAAAGCCCATGTGGACGCCCACAAGTTTCCTCGGAGACGCTCCGCTTCCGCTTTAGAATAATATAAATGGATCTAGTCTCATTCATTTCTTGTATTTATACCTTCCCTTTGGTGGAGTACTCGTATTTCAGTTTATGAATACAAATCCTTCCGTGTATAGGAAACCTACCCTCGGTGTAAATGAAACCTACCCTCGGTGTAAATGAAACCTACCCTGGGTGTAAATGAACCCTACCTTCCGCATAAATGAACCCTACATTCGGTAAAAATAAAGCCCACCTTCGGTGTAAAAGAACCTTACCTTCCGTATAAATGAACTCTAACTTCGGTGTATGTTTGCCCTACGTCTGTTAAGCAATCTATTTCCACTATTCTTCTCTATCCATCGGCTATTTCAGGCTAGAGCCATTTTAGCAGCAGTCTTTCGACTTTATGTTTGATATTTAGTTTAAGACAGTCATCGGCATCCATTTGCTTTAATTGTGCAAAAGATGGATTTCTCATTATTCGACATGGGAACACAAAGTCACGTGACATCTGTTGTGTTTGTTTTTTGTGTATCCTTTCGCTACATACATATTATATATATTTATATATATATATATATTTTTTTTTATTTTTTATTTTGGTCTTCGAGGCGCCAAGGACAAATAATCCGTGATTCATCTGGTAGCCGTGCCGAAGGTTGTTGAAATTTGCTGAAAATTTCTAATGTTACAGAAGCTGAAATAATTGTTGTAAAGTGTCTGCGTAGAGCATATGTAGAGTATGTATAATTAACACCAACAAGATAAATGAAATACTAGAACTATGGAAACATTCTTACTTGATGGGTCCAAGATTTCATCTAAAATGACTTGTTTCTTGCGACGGCACAATTTCTTGCACACATTCACGACTTTGAAGAATTCAGTCCTAAACTTTCTGTCGAAGACGATGTAGAAGATGATGGTTGTGGCGTAGTTGGAGTACTGAAAGAGCAGGATGCCCCCAAGCACTGGCCGGTGGAGAAAGTAAACACGCGGTCAGTCCAACAGAGGTTGAGGCGGCATGGACACTATGTCCAAGAATTAGATCCTACCTATTCATTCTGACATCTGAACATTCGCGCCAGTTGAGAACGGCTGCCTCACAGAGTCGATAACTGGGGTTTTTGTAGGCTTGAACTTGATGAGGTGGGGCTGCAATGGATTGACTGGGATATCTGGGTTTGGTAGACTGGTAGGGAGATGGGAAATCTGGGGTTGGAAGTATATTTGGGGTGCCTTGGGTGGCTCACATAGGGTGGGAATAAGGGGTTGGGAATTCTGGGATTGGTAAAAAAAAGGGGGGATGGCTTGGTTGGCTAAGATCGGATTGGGTGGGAATGAGTTGGCTGGGATATCTGGGACTGGTTAGAGCAGGTGGATAGACTTGCTTGGCTAAGATCGGATTGGGTGGGAATGAATTGGCTGGGATATCTGGGACTGGTTAGAGCAGGTGGATAGACTTGGTTGGCTAAGATCGGATTGGGTGGGAATGAGTTGGCTGGGATATCTGGGACTGATTAGAGCAGGTGGATAGACTTGGTTGGCTAAGATCGGATTGGGTGGGAATGAGTTGGCTGGGATATCTGGGACTGATTAGAGCAGGTGGATAGACTTGGTTTGCTAAGATCAGATTGGGTAAGAATGAGTTGGCTGGGATATCTGGGACTGATTAGAGCAGAAGGATAGGCTTGCTTGGATAAGATCGGGTTGGGTGGGAATGAGTTGGCTGGGATATCTGGGACTAGTTATAGCAGGTGGATAGACTTGGTTGGTTAAGATCGGGTTGGGTAAGAATGAGTTGGCTGGGATATCTGGGACTAGTTAGAGCAGGTGGATAGAATTGGTTGGCTAAGATCGGATTGGGTGGGAATGAGTTGGCTGGGATATCTGGGACTGATTAGGGCCGGGTGATAGAATTGGTTGGCTAAGATCAGATTGGGTAAGAATGAGTTGGCTGGGATATCTGGGACTGGTTAGAGCAGGTGGATAGACTTGGTTGGCTAAGATCGGATTGGATGGGAATGAATTGGCTGGGATATCTGGGACTGATTAGAGCAGGTGGATAGACTTGCTTTGCTAAGATCAGATTGGGTAAGAATGAGTTGGCTGGGATATCTGGGACTGATTAGAGCAGGTGGATAGGCTTGGTTGGATAAGATCGGGTTGAGTGGGAATGAGTTGGCTGGGATATCTGGGACTAGTTAGAGCAAGTGGATAGACTTTGTTGGCTATGATCGGGTTGGGTAAGAATGAGTTTGCTGGGATATCTGGGACTAGTTAGAGCAGGTGGATAGAATTGGTTGGCTAGGATCGGATTGGGTGGGAATGAGTTGGCTGGGATATCTGGGACTGGTTAGAGCAGGTGGATAGACTTGGTTGGCTAAGATCGGATTGGGTGGGAATGAGTTGGCTGGGATATCTGGGACTGATTAGAGCAGGTGGATAGACTTGGTTGGCTAAGATCGGATTGGGTGGGAATGAGTTGGCTGGGATATCTGGGACTGATTAGAGCAGGTGGATAGACTTGTTGGCTAAGATCGTGTTGGGTGTGAATGAGTTGGCTGAGTTATCTGGGACTGATTAGAGCAGGTGGATAGACTTGGTTGGCTAAGATCGGGTTGGTTGGGAATGAGTTGGCTGAGATATCTGGGACTAGTTAGAGCAGGTGGATAGACTTGCTTGGCTAAGATCGGGTTGGGTGGGAATGAGTTGGCTGGGATATATGGGACTAGTTAGAGCAGGTGGATAGACTTGGTGGGCTAAGATCGGGTTGGGTGGAAATGAGTTGGCTGGGATATATGGGACTAGTTAGAGCAAATGGATAGACTTGGTTGGCTAAGATCGGGTTGGGTGGGAATGAGTTGGCTGGGATATCTGGGACTGATTAGAGCAGGTGGATAGGCTTGGTTGGATAAGATCGGGTTGGGTGGGAATGAGTTGGCTGGGATACCTGGGACTAGTTAGAGCAGATGGATAGACTTGGTTGGCTAAGATCGGGTTGGGTGGGAATGAGTTGGCTGGGATATCTGGGACTAGTTAGAGCAGGTGGATAGACTTGGTTTGCTAAGATCGGGTTGGGTGGGAACGAGTTGGCTGGAATATCTGGGACTGATTAGTGCAGGTGGATAGAATTCGTTGGCTAAGATCGGTTTGGGTGGGAATGAGTTGGCTGGGATATCTGGGACTGATTAGAGCAGGTGGATAGAATTGGTTGGCTAAGATCGGATAGGGTGGGAATGAGTTGGCTGGGATATTCGAGACTGATTAGAGCAGGTGGATAGACTTGGTTGGCTAAGATCGGGTTGGGTAGGAATGAGTTGGTTGCGATCTGTTAGAGTGGCTGGAGTGGGGGTGTCATTATCTCTAATTTCATGTAAAAGAATCTTCATCAATGTACAACACTTAACTGTAAAATAGTAAGCAAATCCCAAAACAATGGGGGGCTGCCATGCGTGACCTTTCCATCTACTATAGTTACTGGACGAAAGATGCATATAAGTAACTCACTAGATTTGCAGAAGTAGTGCGAAATTCTCTGAATTTGATATGGGCGCTTTTTTATCACAGCGTAACAGTCATCCATGCATGCAGACCTAGATAATTGTTATTGGTTATAAGCATAAAATATGCGCCCGTAGCTGAATGAGTTGAACAACTCACACATTTGAGCCTTGAGGCGGCCAATCACGTTCTCCTCATCGTACATCCCCTTGATGTACTGGTACAGCATGAGAGGAATGATGGTCACCAAAAACTGGACGTTGGAAATCGTCACGAGAGTGTACAATTCCTTTCTGACTGCGGATACAATGATTGAATTGGGTTAATTTATGTTCTCTTTTCGTGGGTACATTTCTTTCGTCACACAAAACACATTGCAAGCATTTGTAAACATCTGCAACTAATAAAATGTATGATTGTAAGCATTGGTCAATATCTTCAAATAATATTGTGTTTGATTGTAAGCATTGGTTATCACCTTCAACTAATATGATGTATGATTGTAAGCATTGGTTAACACCTTCAACTAATATGATGCATGATTGTAATCATATGACCACATCTGCACCTAATTTTATGTCTTATTGTAAGCATCGGACCACCACTGCTACTAATAATATGTATGAATGTAGGCATAGGGCCACATTTTAAACTGATATTATGTATGATTGTAAGCACAGAACAAAATCTGCGACTAATATTATGTATGATTGTGAGCATAGGATCACATTTGCAAACAAATTATGTATGCTTTTAATCATTAGTTGAACTAATATGATGCTTGATTTTAAGCATTGATGCAACTAATATGATGTTTGATTGTTAGCATTGGGTGCAATAAATGCAGCTAACATGATGCATGACTGCAAGCATTATCAATGCTAAGAACTGATCAGATGAGGGTCCTCACTTTTTAGAAGGGGCTCCGTATCGGTCTCGTCAAACACAGGCGGTGGCTTGAACGTGTTTAGCAGGATGAACAGGTTGGGTGTGATCAGCAGAAAGAATGGCACAATGACCTGGATGGCCATCTCCACTTGGAACATCGTGGTATCACTAGGGAGGTAGCACTCAACAACCACCCTGGGGATGACGCAGATTTTAGTTGTTTTAGATCATGTCTGGGGCCATTTGGCGTTCATCTTATTCTCCTTGTGAAAAACAAGTGATTTGAGAAAAAACTTCATCTTTAAGCTGAGTGTGTTTAAAAGATCTAAGCGTTGATATTTTTTTATAGATAATTAAAAACAAAAAATTTAATGACTTCTGCTAACGCCTGGATATGTAAATTCTTTCTAAAAATAAATAATAATGAATCATAGAGAGAAATGAAGTCGTACGCTTTGCAGAGAAGAGTATTTTCTTACATTATGCAGAGAAATGATGTTCTTAAATTATGCAGGGAATTAATGTTCTTAAATTATGCAGAAAATTAATGTTCTTAAATTATGCAGAAAATTAATGTTCTTAAAGTATGCAGTGAAACAACGTTCTTGCATTATGCAGAGAAATTTTGATCTTAAATTATGCAAGTAAATAATGATCTTAAATTATCGATAGAAATGATGATCTTAACAAATTTCAAGAATGATGATTGAAGATACAAATTTGCATTTCCAAAGGATACGATACTGCAGGAGCTGAGCAGTCTGACTACAAGACATACAAGCGAAGATCACAAAGCTATGTTATCTCACAGATTAAAAGACATACAAGATACAGTAGCAGTAGATTCAGACATTAGAAGTATACCCCCAAATAGCAAGGACTGTGAAACACTAACTAACAAAGCCTTTCGATATGAAAGGCATGATGTCTTATATAACATCCGGAGTGCCTGATGTATAATTTTGGTCCCTTGTAGGTAAACTCTTGTTAGAGTCTTGAGAACATTTGGCTGGGGTAGAGGAATTAAATCTCGTTGTAGAGTCGTCAAAACTTGCACACAAGTCCTCAGTAAGACGCTCTTTAAAGGTAGAACTCTTCTAGGAGCTCATAAAACTCGCAGCCAAAGCAAGTAATTTATCTGGAGTCGGTAAAACTAGCCTTATTGTTCATAATGAAACTCTTTAATGAGTCAGGACATGCCTCTTTGAAGTTTGCATGGACATCTGAGAGCAGAAAGTCATGAGTTTTTTAAATGTGTTTCCAGATGTATCACGAGACGTACAAGCGGAGACTTTTTAGTTGTGTACCAGGATGTGTGGTCCACTCAGTTTTCTTCTTGAGTTTCTAACATTCATCCATCGAATGTCCTTTTTTACAGTAGGCACATGTGTTTTTTTTTTTTTTTACTTATTTCTTTTGTACAGGGCTTATATGATTTTTGTGGAGGTTAGCTGTAAAGTCGATGTTTTCGCCTTATTGTGCCAGTCTTTTTTGGTGTCAAATGTGTTCTTTGAGAGTTGAAATGAGATGGTAAAGTCATC